TTATAAATCATATGGTTGCAATGGCTATTGTTCTATTTCTTAACTGCTGGCAAATATATATGTATATATATAGATCTTAAAAAAAATGGTTACAAAGAAAAATAAAGATAGGAAATAGAAAATAATGGTACCAAATGACAGCTTAATCTTTAAAGAGCTCTATTCTATGCATGCACTAAAACAAAAGGACACATACGGGTACAATTTTTACCCCCTTCTGCGTTGCTCGGTCCCAGCGTGTCAGGCCAGGATCGGTCCCTCAATTCCTCGGAAAGACGAAAATACGAGGTGGGCATCCCCGTGGAACCTCGGGAGGTCAAAACACCTAACCCGACCAGCAGGTAGAGTGTAGATTGACACTCAAAAGTGAGTGTGCTGCTGTACCCACCTTTATACCCATTGGGTCACGTATTTCTCTTTCTTATCTGTGATGCCAAATGGTGCTGGTCTGTCTTTTGTGAGACCAGTTCTTACAAGGGAGTTGTGAACTTAATTTACACTTGTAAGAGAGAGTTGAGAGGATTAAATTGGAAGTACTGGGCATTCTTTTTTTCACAGTGGGAAATTCCTCTCCCAGGGACTGTGTGTGTTCGAATCAACATGGGTGCCAGCCAGGCACTTCTTGCAGCCTCGAGCTCAGTTTATTGCCTTAATCGTTACTCAGAGTCAGGGAACACTTGCATATCCTGATCTCGCATCAAAGCAGATCAAAGCTTAATGGCTATGCTGATTTTCTTATTGTTCCTTCTCTGCCCTGTATACAGACATCTCAGAGGGCAAGCAAGATTGTTTGAGATGGGGGGGTTGCTCCTTCTCTGTCCTGTATGCTTCAGGAACCTCAGAGAGGCAAAATAAGATGGATGAGATGGGGGGGGGGGCTGTCTGGCTACAGGGTTGCAGACCAAACTGAATGAACAAGTATTTGAAATAGGTTATTAAGAAAAAGTAGAAAGCTTACACAGAATGGAAGAAGGAAATGGATCAGCAAGGAAAGGTGTAGGCTATATCTACATTGCAGAGTTATTTCAGCATACCAGAAGCATCCTGAAATAGCTATTCTGAGTCTATTGAAGAAGTCTGTTATTTCAACAACTTATTCCGATGTCCTGGTAACCCTAAACAGCACCAAATTTCAAAATTAGCTATTTCAAAATTAACTTGAAATAAGCTACGCAATTTGTGTAGCACAAATTGCGCAGCTTTATTTCAAGGTAAAGATGCTGTGTAGATACACCCTTAGGCTGTGTCTACACTGAGCCACTTATTCCGGAAAAGCAGCCACTTTTCCGGAATAAGCTGTGTGCTGTCTACACTGGCCCCTTGAATTTCCGGAAAAGCAGTGACGATTTACTGTAAGAAATCAGCTGCTTTTCCGGAAAAACTATGCGGCTCCCGCTCGGGCAAAAGTCCTTTTTCCGGAAAACTGTTCCAGAAAAGGGCCAGTGTAGACAGCACAGTAGTCTTTTCAGGAAAAAAGCCCCGATCGCGAAAATGACGATCGGGGCTTTTTCCGGAAAAGCGTATCTACATTGGCCACGGACACTTTTCCGGAAAAAGGGCTTTTGCGGAAAAGCATCCTGCCAATGTAGACGCTCTTTTTCCGGAAATACTTATAACAGAAAACTGTTCCGTTTTAAGCATTTCCGGAAAAGGGTGCCAATGTAGACACAGCCTTAGAGGTCAGAAAGTATAGAGATAAAGTTAGAACTGGCAAATTCCAAGCAGAGTTGGACTTTGCAAAGGAAATTAAAACCACAAGTAATATGTTCTTTAGCTATATAAACACAAAGAAAACTGGCAAAGAAAAAGCGGGACAATATACTGAGAATGGAAATTAAAAATAATCTAGAAGTCACCTCAGGACAGGATGCAGAGATAAAATTTCTTGATACCTTAAAAGGTTGCTTTTTGGAGCAGCTGGTTCTGGAACCCACAAGGGGAAAGGCTATTCTTGATTTAGTCCTAAGTGGAGCAAAGGAGCTGGTGCAAGAGGCAAATATAACTGGACTGCTTGGAAATAGTGACCATAATGTAATAAAATTTAACATCCTTGTGGGAAAAACACCTCAGCAGCCCAACGACATGGCATTTAATTTCAGAAAGGGGAACTACACGAAAAGGTGGAGGTTAGTTAAACAGAAATTAAAAGGTACAGTGACAAAAGTAAAATCTCTGCAAGCTGCATGGAAACTTTTCAAAGACTCCATAATAGAGGCCCAACCTAAATACCCCAAATTAAAAACACTAAGAGAGCCGTAAAAGTGCCACTATGCCTTAACAACCAAGTAAAAGAAGCAGTGACAGATAAAAATACATCTTTTAAAAAGTGGAAGTCAAATCCTAGTCAGGAAAATAGAAAGGAACATAAACTTTGTCACATTAAGTGTAAAAATATAATAAGAAAAGCCAAAAAGGAGTTTGAAGAACAGCTAACTCAAAAAGTAATGGCAACATTTTTTAAAGAACATCATAAGGAGGAAGCCGGCTAAACAACCAGTAGGGCTCTTGGATGATCGAGATGCTAAAGGAGCACTCAAAGATCATAAAGTCATTATGGAGAAGCTAAATGAATTCTTTGCTTCAGTCTTCATGGCTGAGGATATTGGGGAGATTCCCAAACCTTCTTTGTAGGTGACAAATCAGGAATTGTCCCAGACTGAGGTGTCATTAGAGGAGGTTTTAGAACAAATGGATCAACTTAACAGTAACAAGTCACCAGGACCAGATGGCATTCACCCAAGAGTCCTGAAAATTTCAAATATGAAATTGCAGAAGTATTAACTGTGGTTTGTAATCTATCCTTTAAATCAGCTTCTATACCTAATGACTGAAAGATAGCTAACATCATGCCAATATTTAAAAAGAGCTTTAGAGGTGATCCTGGCAATTACAGACTAGTAAATCTAACATCAGTACTGAGCAAATTAGTTGAAACTATTGTAAAGAATAAAATTGTCGGACACATAGACGAACATAATTTGTTGGGGAAAGTCAACATGGTTTCTGTAAAGGGAAAACATGCCTTACTAGAGTTCTTTGAGGGGATCAATAAACATGTGGGCAAGTGGGATCCAGTAGATACAGTGTACTTAGATTTCCAGAAAGCCTTTGACAAGGTTCCTCACCAAGAGCTCTTAAGTAAAGTAAGTTTCATGGGATAAGAGGGAAGGTTCTTTCAAGGACTGATAACTGGTTAAAAGACAGGAAGCAATGGCTAGGTATAAATGATAAGTTTTCAGAGTGGAGAGAGGTAACTAGTGGGGTCCCCCAACAGTCTTTCCTGGGACCAATCCTATTACACTTATTTATAAATGATCTAGAGAAAGGGGAAACAGTGAATTGGCAACAGTGGCAGATGATACCAAACTGCTCAAGACAGTTCAGACCAAAGCAAACTGTGAAAAGCTTCAAAAAGATCTCACAAAAGTATGTGATAAGGCAACAAAATGGCAAATGAATTTTAATGTTGATGAATGTAAAGTAATACACATTGGAAAAACAATCCCAATTATACATACATATGATGGGGACTAATTTGGCTACAACTACTCAAGAGAGAGATCTTGGAGTCATTGTGGAGGGGACTGTCTATGGACATTGCTCTTAGGGTTGCCAGATGTCCGGTATTAGACCGGATAGCCCGGTATTTGCGGCATGTGTCCGGTAAAAAAACCCAGAAAATAGTAGCTATGTAAAATGTCTGTATTTTCTGTTTTTCTCAGAGGGAAGGACACCTGGGACATTCTTTCCCCGCGTCTGGGGGGACGGGGGTAGTGCGGGAGTGTGTGGAGATTTAAAGTGGCCCTGACTCTTTTTTTTTTCTCAACCAATTTCCCCCCCTGCAGTGTTTGGTATTTTTTGTGAAACTATCTGGCACCCCTAATTTCTGAGGGGTGTCTATGGACGCACTGCCTTGGGGCATTTGAAGCACTAGTGAAAGCACCACCAGTGCACCCCGCTCCACCTCAAACTAGGTTGAGGGGCAGCGCCGCGCATGCGTACAGGAGCCGCGCTTCGTCTGCGCGAAGAAACGATGCGCACCAAGCCTCGCTCCGGGAGCCATGGAAAATGTGTCGACCTACGCGCATGCGCACATTGCGCTTTCTCCCCCTTCACTGGATGTGCTTCGGCGCACAGTACGTTTGCCGTGGTGACGTAGAGGCCTACGCCCCGCCCCCGGTATAAAAGCGTGCGCGGGCGCCGGACGCCATTGTGCTGTGGAGCAGGCCGTGCTTCAGGGATCGTGTGGGCCCCGCAGCGCCGCGCTCTTCTCGCCCTGCCTCCCCCTCAGCCCGCCGAGCTGCCGCGCGTGTACATCGGGCGC